TGATCAAAGACGAGTGAACATTCAGATAATAATTATTTAAAATACAAAATACAGGATTTTTTTAAGTAATCAAATCGGGTTATAATTAATATTTAATTAAAATTTTAAATAAATATATTTATTATAATTAAAATTCAATAAAATAAATTGTATTTATTGACTAAGCCAGATCAACAATGTCAGTGTAAAGCTGAAGATTAAGCGTCGATTTCAGTAAACAAAAGAGAATCATTAGTAATCACTCATTATTTGAACGAGAAAAGAAAAAAAAAAAAAAAAAACCAATACAAAAAAAAATAAAAATAAAAAAAGTTTAATCATCTTGTTTGGTAAGAACAAAATTTTTATTTGAGACGGGGATATTAGACTTGATTTGCAAAGCAGTTTCCAAAAATTGGTCGTTGGATAACTTATCATTATTTGGTGCTTTTGAGGAAGAGGCAACTGACAAATTGGTTCTGATACGTTTATTGGAAGCCGACTTCCTTTTAGCATATTTTTCTTCTATATTATCTAACTAGTTATTGAAGTCATCTTGTGAGGGCACATTTTTGTTGACAGATATATTCGAAGATCTACCTATATAGTTCTATTCTATATCAGATGCTACAATATGCGGAATTTTATTTGAACCTAATTTCAATCTTCTTATAACCGAGATAACAGTTTTCAGGATATTATCTTTTAGTGTATTGTATCTACTATATTTATTGCTATATGATACAATTACATTTGAATCCAGATTTCTGTGACTCGTGACTCCATTATAAGATTTTCTAAGCAATTCGAAACTCTTTCTGCCTTCATCGTTATCGATATAGGAATCAGGTGCTGCAGGTGAAGAGTATATCAATATCGGTGCCTACCAAGGAAGATTATCATGAGACAATTCAACATCGCTTTTGGTAGGCATGGGTACGCTTTGGACCAGAGTGACCTTAAAAAAAAAAAAAAAAAAATCAATTAAACTATAAAACTCAAAATATGCATTATACATATGTACGTATTCAACATTATCTTCATATATATATTGTCCCACAAATAAAATGATCCAATTTTTTTCGAATTCAGTAATTAAATTATCCGGACTATTCATATAACCCTTATATGTAATCTGCCTAAATCTATTGACCATAGTATTAATTTGGTATAACACGGTGCTAGTTAAATAATCTTTATTTCTGGTAACAGTTTGAATAAAACAATATGAAACAAAAATTGAAGACATTTTTTTTTCTTAAAATAAAAGCAATTTTATTTAATTAATTATTTTTTTTGATAGAGAATTTTTTAGAGAAAAAGATAATGCAAAGAAAAGAAAGTATTTATAATAACACAAGAGGTTATAAATCGGAACATACTGATAGACATAATAATTAATCAAATATTCACGAACACACATACTTTACAAGCTGCGAGGATAATTAACATAAAAGAAAAAAATAAAATAAAATAATATCAATGATCAAAGATCAAAACAAATACAGATAAGATTTTTCATTCCAAGCATCATAATTAGTGATATGGGCCGATGCCAAACTCTCGGGCCGACCCGCCTGTCAAAATTACTCGGCCCGGTCGGCCGGGCCGACC